CTGAATCTCCTGCATCATCAATGTCACTTTGAGATGAATTCTTTACAATCCTTAATGTGACAAACAGGATGGATCCCTCCCCACTACCTGCTCACTCACTGCAATTTCCCCTTACTCTGCTTCCCACCATGCATACAGTAAAGAAAAGGTGTTTCCTTGTGAACACTGCACAGTTACACTCTGGTTAAGTGGGATGGTGGGATTCAGAGTCCACCTTCATTGTCCTTTTGTAAACTTGTCATGATGAAATTCTACAGCTTTGTCAGCCCTAAACGAACATCAATCTTTACTTTTGAGAATTTTGTACATAATGAAATTAATCTAGATGTCATTTGACAGTCTAAAACAAATGGTATTGTAAAAATGCTTAGCATGGACCAAGAATCTGAGTAAACTACCATCCCTCTAACAAAAATTCCTTGTAGAAGGAGAGTGGATCAATTTTCTCAGGGAAATTTGAAATAAAGGGTACTTTTCATCTTAAAAATGGAACTCAGGAGGTTGTTGAACTAAGTGTGCTGTGCATTCAGTATTCACAGGGTAAAACATAAAAGAAATAACATGGATTTTTTAAAAAGATATTTTCCACTGCTTGCTGCTTCTATCAAACCACCAGAGAGGTGATTTGAGAAGGGCATTGTGGAATAAAGACACTGTTCTGACAGCAAACACGAATGAAATAAAATTGGCCCAAGGCTTTGATGCTGGCACCCACATGGAGAGCTGAGACACAGCAGCATGCTGGCTTACTGCACTAGAGAATAGAACTAGTGCAGTTTTTAGGAGAGTGTGAAGCAAAGATGAAAGAGGAAACTATTAAAAACACGCATACATGTAGAGTTTAAAACAGACTTTTCAGGTTGCACAAATTCCTCCATTGCAAGAACTTATCCATTCACATAACAGGAGTACTGAAGTTCAGTTATAATCTTTTTGTCTCCATTGTCAAGGGAAGATTTGGGACAGGGCCGGAATCAGCTGTGTCCTGATTTTTAAGAGTGGAGAGAAGAGAGAGAATGGAGGTCTCTGCTTGGGCATTGCTGAGATTCTCTCTGGCTTCTGGCTCAAACATAGATGATGCCTTGAAGCAAAGCCCAAACGTGCTTGATTTTACTCTCCTGAGTAGCTTTTTATAAATATATTTTATTTGAAAAACAGACAGAGAGAGATTGAATGATTTCTCATCTGCTGGTTCACTCCGCAAATGACTGCAACAGCTGAGGCTGTTTCAGGCCAAAGCCGGGAGCCTAGAACTCAATCTTGGTCTCCCATGTGGGTGCCAGGGACCCAAGAAGTTGAGCTGTCACCTGCCGCCTCCCAGAATGTGCATTACCAGGAAGCTGAAATTGAAAGTGGAGCCAGGACTCGTACTAGGCACTCTGTTATGGGATGCAGCCATCACAAGCAGTGACTTAAACTAAATGCTGTACCAGACCCTCACCTCGTCTCCTGGGTGAGACGAGGAAGATTTTCCCTAAAAGTGAGGAAGGTGCTTAAAATGGCTTCTACTCAGTTAGGCATAAAAGAAAGACGGAAGGAATAAAAACAGCAGCAAGAGAAAAGAATAAGCTTACGTCAGACTTCCCAGGTAAGGTGTTTTTGACAAATTGTTAGACTCTAAGAAGAAAAAGAAACTCGGGCATTTTAACCCTGCTTTAAAAATGGTCCTTTGCCCAGTCTTTTTAGACAAACCACAAAATACTGAAGCAGAAGCCTGCAGAGCAGATTCCGAGTGCCTTTCCTGCATTATTAGAGGAGAACAAATCGCACAGCCTGGGGTGTTATGACCACACTAGGCGTGTACAGGGAAATATGGCTGCTAACCATTCCCACAGCTTGCTAATTGTTTTGCTCTCACTTGAGAAGCTGAAACAATGCAGGATGACTTTAGGAAAGATGCTTCTTGAATTTGTTTCCTGCTCTTTAAATCTCCAAATGAACAAACAAATGACGGCTATGTAAAAGCTCAAATTAAAAGTGCATTTTAAACTCATTCCTTAAATAATTAAATCCATCATTTATTTTTCTTCTTAATCAATGATTCAGCCTGGAAGGGAGACCACTTTAGGCATGTCTAGTATTGGTAATAACACGGAAATAATGTGGTGTTAAAAGCCTAGTCCTAGTTCTTATTAGCCATATGACCTTGGGCAAGACGCTTACAAAAATTCTTGAGCCTTGGGTTTTTATACATAAAAATGGAATTAATATCTATTTTTCAGGGTTATCATGAAGATTAAATGAGATGTGACCAATTGCTTAGCATAGTGCCTGGCACATGTTAGATACAAATGATTTCACTTCTGAGGAGTAAATATTTAGATAGATTTCATTTACCACAAAGGATCTATAAAAGAAAAATCAAAAGGATATAGGTTTTCAAGTTTTTCAAGTTCAAATATTTTCCCAATTACAGAAGTAATATTCTTATAAAAATTAAAAAAAAACAAAGAGAAAAGATTGTTATTCATAATCTCACCATCTTTAATATGTTTGTTAACAGTTATACATATTTATATATTCTTTTAAAGTCAACCAGCTCTTTAAGTGAAAGCAAAGCAAATAGAATCTGAATTCTATTTTTTTATTTTCTACATATAACCCATTAGCACTTCCTTTTATTATTTAAAACTCTTGACACATACTGTAAATTTTATTGGTTGAATATTCTATTAAATGTCTCAAAAACATATAGGAATTTTCAATATTTTGCTATTGAAGTTCACGTTAACATTAATATATACTTAGACTTTTCAAACAAATTGAAGGATTTTCCACAAGGAATTTCAGGATAAATGATATGAACATTTTTAAGAAGTCTGAAGTATTATGCAACTGCTTTTCTATAGAATTGGGTAAATTTATATATCATTACTAATGGGAGAGTCTCAGCTTCTTTTCACATCAATTGATATTGAATATTATTAATAAAAATGGTATTTTGATGTTTAATTTTTATTTGTTACTGGTTGAACGAGTGGTCATTGAGACCCTCATATTTTCTTATCTATTTAAATGTATTCCCTCTAATTTCCACATGTAGAAGTTTGAAGAAAGATCCCCTACCTTACACCTTATACAAAAATCAACTTAAAATCAATCAAGGATTTAAATTTAAGACTGCAACCATAAACTATTAGAGGAAAACAGGAGAAACACTTTTTCTTTTTCTTTTTTTTTTTTTTTTTTGTATAAGACCCTGAAGCACAGACAATAAAAGCAAAAATAGACCAATAGGATTACGTCAAATCAAGAAGCTTCTGTATTGCAAAGGAAACAAAGTGAAAAGACAACTGACAGAGTGGGAGGAAATATTTGCAAATTATGCATTTGATAAAAGATTAGTATCCAGAATATATAAGGAACCCAAGAAATTCAACAACAGCAAGACTAATAATCTAGTTAAGAAATGGTCAAAGGATATGAATATACAGTTTTCAAAAGAGGAAATACAAGTGGCCAACAGACTCATGAAAAAATGTTCAGGATCTCTAGCCATCAGGTAAATACTAATAAAAACCACAATCAGGTTTTATCTCACTTCAATAAGAATAGCTACCATCCCAAAGTCAAAATACAACAAATGAAGGCAAAGCTATGAAGAAAAAGGTACCCTAAGAAAACTAACAGTAGACCTACCATATGATCCAGCTATTCCACTTCTAGAAATGTATCCAAAGACAATGAAATCAGCATATGAAAGTGCATATGAAGATACCTGCACTCCCATGTCTATTGCACCCCAATTCACAGTAGCACAATATGGAATCATCCTAGATGTTTATCAACTGATGACTGGATAAAGAAAATGTGGTATATATACATGAGGAAATATTACTCATCCATAAAAAGAATGAAATTCTAACATTTTCCAAAAAATGGAGGAAACTGGGCCGGTGCCATAGCTCACTAGCCTAATCCTCCGCCTGCGAACGCCAGCACCCTGGGGTTCTAGTCCTGGTTGGGGCGCCGGATTCTGTCCCGGTTGCTCCTCTTCCAGTCCAGCTCTCTGCTGTGGCCCAGGAAGGCAGGTGGAAGATGGCCCAAGTGCTTGGGCCCTGCACCTGCATGGGAGACCAGGAGGAAGCACCTGGCTCCTGGCTTCAGATCGGCACAGTGTGCCGGCTGTAGTGGGCATAACGGAAGGATGACCTCTCTCTCTCTGTCTCGTCTGTCTCTCTCATTGTCCAGCTCTGCCTGTCAAAAAACAAAAAACAAACAAAAAAATGGAGGAAACTGGAGATTATTATGCTAAATGAAATAAACCAGACACAGAAAGACAAATTCTACATGTTTTCTGTTATATGTGGAAGTTAATATAGAGAGAATATAAAATATGCATGTCATCTTATTTGGTATATAGAGAAGTATATATTGTTCTCACTGAATCAAACCATCTACATAGCAATATATCTTTCTTTGTTCATTTTGTGATCATTGTCATGAATGACAATGATGTTATGTGATATTAATATCCCTGTTTTCAAGAAAAAATTGTATGTGTGTATATATATAATATTTACCTATTAAGTGAATAAAGCAAAATATTAAATGGTTAAATCTTAAAAATAATTAAAAATAAAGCATGTGATAGGTAAAACTGAAATAAAATGTACATCCTCTATAGAAAATATAAACACTTTCTCACTTTGCTGTGAGTATTTTTCTACTTTTACTTTTTTATAACATGGAAATTGTTCTACATTTTCAAAGTTGTATTTAGTCCTTTTTCATGTAGTTTCTTTTCTTTTGATGTTGCTCTTTAAGGTGGGTTCTGGGCTTTTTATTTATTTTTCTTTTGAAAATTTTTGCCACTCAAAGGATTTCTATTCTGTACCAAAAGAGGATCTGTTATTTCCTTTTTGGATGACCCATGATAGGAATTGAAAGGTACAGTTTTGATGAAAGGATTACAAATGCCATTCTCAAACAGGATGAAGATAATGATTTTTATCTTTTTTTAAATCAAATGCTAACAAAATTTTATGCTGTGGTTTCAGGTTTGGAGAGAGTAGAATGAGTTGCTGGCCACAAATGGAATATTACAGTTAGAAGTTTTCCAGATGTGTGGGAGAGTTACATGAGGAGCTACTGGAGACAACGATGCGGTGCAATAAGCAGAGGTGCTCCCAGGACTCAGCTACTCTGAAACAGTATTCCTCTGTGCTTTTGTCTGAACCTACCTGGGACAGATCCAACTGAATCTGGCACTAGGAACCTGTGATCAGCAAGAGAGATGGATGCTTTCTGAATAGAGAGAAATCTACAGAAATGTGAGTATTCTTTACATGGCCAGATAAACAGTATAAAACACCATGGAAATGAATGTGTAGCCAATTCTGTAACCTCTGCATTTGTTCATCTAAAATGTATACATGGCCAGACACTTGTGATAAGCATCAAGTTCTTAGGATACTTTCTGTGAAGCACTCAGTTATGGTAAAAACTCTCTTAGTAAGGTGAATTTGTTGGGAACTTTTTCAACCTTGTAAAGAGAGAGCATTGATGAAAAACCTACCACTTACTTCGTATATATGATCATGCCCATGGGATGTCCTTTGAAATCTACAGAATAGCTACTGGGACTAATGAGTGAGGATGGCAGGAAAAGGCCTGCCCGATTGTTGCATACCGTGCTAGACACTGGAATTTTTTGTTAAATGATGGGAACCAAGGGATGCTTCTAACCCCAGAGTGAAGGATCTGGATCTCATTTGAGAAAGTTTCCTCTGACAGGTGAGTGTAGACTGGACTGACTCTTAAAGTTAGGGGGCAAAGTGGCTGAGAGAATTCTTCAATAGTTAAAATGATGAGGCACTGAATGATGATGGGATGGCCAGAGAGCAGAGAGTGAACCTGAGACTCATTTAGGAGGCAAGAACATCTGACTAGGATGAATATGGGTGCAAGGGAGTAAGAGGAGTCAAGAACTGTGTTCAAGTTGTCTCAGCATGTTTGAAACCGAGTTTGCATCTGAGCAGTTTGAAAATGCCCAGTGAAAACAATGACATTTAACACTGAGTTGAGAAAGAGAAAATAAGCAAAAATTGAAGTTGTGTTTGATCAAATGAACAGAAACATATCACTTTTTTTTTTAACTCAAACCCGCAGGCTAGGATTATACTCTGTCAAATGTTTGCACTAAGTGATTATTTTCATGGCCTCATATTTTTGGTGAGAGGTTTTTTTTTTTTTTTTTTTTTTTTTTTTACATCTTCTTCACCCTCATCAAAAGTGATTTTAGATTAGAATGATTACATTCCACAAAGTTCCACTAACTAAAAATTGTTGTGTTTTCTTTCAGTAGGTCTCTGGGAAGCAGCTCTAAGTTTGAACCAATGGTAACCTACTCTGGAACTAATGCTACTTTCTAAAGATTAAGATCCACAGTGACCTAAAGTTTGAACATAATAGTTTCACATCTTAACTGTTTTCCTTTATGTTTTCAATTCCTTAATCTAAAGTGTGAAATATTAGCAGTGTGGGAAAAGACTTTTGGGTGAAAAATGTCTGTGCTTCCAGGAAAGCTTGCTGGTTTTCCTTTTCATTCCTGTTCATTTGGGAGTAGATATCAGTCCTTCTTGTTCTGTGGCTGTTATTTGAGGGCAAAAATACAAATAGCCAAGAATATATTTTAAAAACTGAAGAGCATCAAGACGTCACAGCCTGAGTTGGCCATAAAGATTTACAATTACATTTCCATCACAAAGACCCTGGCCCATCATATTTGGCCATCTCCAATTATGTTTTGATTTCTGTTTCTTTGGCGGGACAACACCCCAATTAGACAGATGAGCGTTCATTTCTGATTTTGGAGCCCATCCTGGCTGGCCTAGGTTACTCCAGGACTCCTGTGGTTTTTCTCAACTAAACTGTGCTGTGGTCATTTTATGATCTTGCCCTCCGTGAATCCTTTGCCTATGAGAAACTCCCCAGGTTAATACACTCACAGTAATTTAAGCCTGAATTTCCCAAACACTGACCAGGATTTTTTCCCTGCACCCTCTAGGTTGTCACTTCTGAATCCTCTTTATTCTGTGCTATGTAAATTGAGTGGTGGTGATGGAGGGATAGGGGTTATCAGGAATTCGGTCCTCTCCCAATAAATGTAACAATGGTCCAACTGCCTACTTTAGCTTCTGGTAGCAAACAGTATTCTTTAAAATATTACATTAGAGTCAAAGCTGGAGAATTATTATTATAGGAGCTAAGTTGTTACCGCAGATTTTGGCTTGCACGGAAAAAGAGCCATTTTCATTTGGAACTCACTTATTGCTAATCCAATATATAGCTCACCCTTCCACAATTGTATATTATGCTGTGTGTAGGTTCACTGTGTATCTTCAGTGAAGGAAACACAAAAGGAGAAATCACCAGATTTCTGCTGCTAGCAAGAAATGATACGTACGCACAAACAGGGCTTCCCTAGTATTTCCAACCACCCCAAGAAAAAAAATTAAAAGTGACACCATGGACAGATTTTCCTTTCTTCAGGATAAGAGCTGCATTTCATTACTCTAAAAACCCCCATTCATTTAAACAACACTCAATGCTTCCTGGTCTGGATATATAAAATTATTGGGTGGCCTCTGCTGGCCATTCATCTGAGACCCTGACATGCCACAGTCGATTTTTGAGAACTGCTCTGCCACTTAATGTGACAAACATCCAGCCTTGCCGTTTAAGAGATCTTTGAGAAAGGCCATCCCCACATGAAATGAATTTAACAGCAGCAATTTGTCATTTTGCCCTTCCTTTGCTGGGGAAAAAAAAATGCTAGTGATTTCTTTTGACTTAAACTGGGCATTCAAAAAGCTGTTTTTATTAATGAATCATATTAAGCCACCAGTGAAAGGCTCCCTGACTCTGTTTAAATAACAGGCTATGATTCCTCTCCCCTCGAGCTCCCCCCCACCCCCATTTGGCTCTGCTGCTATTAATTGAGGAGTTTCTTTGTTTCTTTCCTAATGAAGCCCACAGAACACATCTGTCAGGTGCCCGTATTCTTTGCCTGTCTATAGTATGTAATAGACCAGCTGGAGGCTATAATGCTACACAATACCCCTGGCCGTTACAGCAACTATTTATTCCTGGGCTTTTCCTCCGAAAGGGATTTGAAAAAAAAAAAAGTCTGAAATTTGGGCCTAATTGCTATTTACCCAGCGATAGACACCTGTTCTAGCTGAGACATTGGCTCATGAATCCCACACCTGAGACCTTAGGGAGAGTGGAGGGGAAATTTCAAGCAGCTGCCAGTCCATTAGATGTAGAGAGCTTTAACTTTCAGGGTTTGTGTGTTTATATGTATACACATATATTTTAAGATACTGTATGTTTAGTATGCACACCCATAACCAGAGGGTATATATTAAAAGCTGTGTACTATTATTTCATGGTCAATTGCTTATCTGAAGGCTGTACACATACTGGCATACAGCTACAACTGTGAGTCCTTTAAAAATAATGCACCAAGACTGAATTCCATATCAATAACAGCCACATGTCCCTCAAAATATCCATTCTAGGTCTCAGGGGAAAACGGTCCCTTATTTAATCAAACATAACTTTTCTTGGGAAGATTCAACTTTGTCTTAGCCATTTTCTTTGTCAAATAGCTATGACTTCTCTCTTTTGATATGTTGAACTCAGTTTTCCTTTTATCTTGGTTAGAGTAGCGTATCTCTGGTTCTTTATTTTTTGAAGTCAGTAATGATATGTATCCCTTCTTGTTGGTTTGCCTTCACAATGCCTCTTTTGCCTATACATACCTGTAAAAGAGAACTAGACTCTGCTCAGGAAGACAACATTTACTTCTTGCGAAGAAATCAAATACAAAAACAAAAAGTAATTTACAATAGAGATCCTTTGTATTATAATAGATAGACTTAACATATTATACATGTAAAGTAGTAGTTAGAAATTTGAGTTTAATAAAAGGCTGTTAGATTGCAAAAGTACTGCCTTGCATTCATCAGAGAATGAAAGTTACAGGAATAGATGTCTGTGTGTGTACACAGATACGTGCATGTGTATGTGTGTGTGCATGTATGTTTTACCTGATGTCACATGTTCAAATTCCATTACCTTTTTTTCTTGCCTGAGGTATAAGGGAAGATTGGGAGTAGAGAGATTTAGCGGAAGCTCATTGGCAACAAAACAATATTGCCCTGCACTTCTATCCAGGCTCTAATCAGAAGACATTCCTGCTGCAGAGAAGTAGAGAGGAGGGCTGGTGGGAACTCAGGGCTTAGATGGGGAAGGAGGAGAAAAGAGTGACAGGCCTTTTTTCTTGTGATGTCTTTCATATATTTTTTCTAGTTGGTGGGACTTCTGAGCCTTTTGATGGATGCCCTATTGGCACTGCTGGAACAGTCTCCCATTTACTTACTGCTAGGGGAAATTTGGCCTTTCTCAGCAAATCAAATAAATGCCACCTAATTTGTTACCAAACCAGAAAATTATTTATTATTTCTCCCAAAGGATACATGAGCTGTATTCAATACTGGTGTGAGAATTCACAAAACAAAAGGGTGAAAGGAGACCCAAATAGAGTACGCAAATGCAAGTCATAAATAAAAATTATCTGAGCGTTATTAATTGTATGTGCAGTGCATGCACACACACACTCACACCACACACTGGCTAAGAAATTCCCTTTGGTCTCATCTGAAACCAGAGATGACCAAGGAGCCAGAGCCTTAGGATTAGCTGGGGCTGCAGGGAGAGGTGGACAGTGTTCACACACAAATGAGTGCCTTGCCTCAGGGCTCACACAGTTGGAGAGAGCTGATGCCGAGACAGAAATTCATTTCCCATGAGGAAGGGGAGAAGTGTGCAGGGAGCTCAGGGTCACACCAGAACAGGTGATAATGAAATTAGAGTTAATGAAGGCTGGAAGAAACTAAGGCCAGATGGGTTGGTGAAACTGTTATCTGAGATGCATGAAAACCAGACACAGCATTGCAGCGTGAGAGAAAACAATGGTTGGAGGCACACAATGGAAAATGCCTGGGAAATATAAGAATCCTATCCTACTCTCTGAAGCAGGTCATCTCTTGGCTTCTATGTTGCAGTATTTTTTTTAAAAGGTTTGTTTCTTTATTTGAAATGCAGCATGACAGAGAGGGTGAGGAGAGAGAGAGAAAGGAGAGGCCCATCATCTGCTGGTTCACTTCCCAAATGTCCCTAGTTGCCAGGTCTGATATTGGGCCAGGTCGAAACCAGGAGCCAGGAACTCCATCTGTCTCCTACATGGGTAACAGGAGTCCAAGTATTTGGGTAACCTTCTCCTGCCTTCCCAGGAGCATTGCAGGGAGCTGGATTGGGAAGTGGAGCAGCTGGGACTTGAACCAGTGCTTGATATGGGATGCTGGTGTTCAGGCTGTGACTTCAACCACTGGGCTAGGAGTTGGAGTATGTGATGAGGGAAAGATGCATAATGCCTGTGGGTCTGTTTCCTCTCTGGGATAATGGAGGCAATGCCTACCTTATTTTCTTGAGAAGACTAAATAAGGTACTGTTTGTAGGACTCATAATGAAGGCAAACATAGTTGATATTGAATACATGGTAACATCATTGTATTTCTTTATGAGCAATAAGGCCATTCTTATTTATATGACAATAAAGGCAATCTAATTTGTCTATGCCTGTAGTTGTGGGCTCTCTAGAACACTAAGAGTGAAAATGCCACACCAGAAATGAGAAATGAGACATTAGTATATCTTGCTGTTCTTAGTAGGTTTTTATACCTGCAGTATATTATGAAAGATAGGGATTTTGTCAGAGGGAGGCAATAAATGAAGTGATACAGAGGTAACCCACAGGAAAGTGTTGAAATACAGCATTTATGCCATAGCAAGGATCAATGCTGCTCCTATAATGAAGTGTATCTTGAACTTGATACAGGTATAGATTGAGACAGCTAAGGCAGGTGTTTCCTCCCAAAGCACCCTATGCACAATGCCAGCCTATTTACTGTGGTGGGGTGGGTGGGGGATTTTGTGGGTCATTTCTTGAATGAACCCTTCTTTCTCTGGGGTGTGATTCATTTGCCAGGTCACTTGCAGGAGGACTAAATAGTGGTCTGCAATGGGAAATTAAATAGTGGTCTACAATGGGAAATTAAAACAGAACCAGCATAAAGTTGTGTTCCTCCTCACAGACCGTATCAGACGCAAGGCTGTGAACATTATTGAGTGAACTGTAACAAGCATCTTTTCTGGACAGAAAGATTAAAGGTGCAGAGCTGAAGGGCACCTGGTATAGTGAGCAAGCAACCTTGAGGATGTTGGCTCCAGTTCACGCCATCAGCCAGAGCTTCTCCCAATACACATGCCACACAGCCACGTGCAGCCTTGCACAGTAGCTGTGCCTATCCCTTCCTGAACCCAAGTGTTTGTGCTTCACTTCATTCATGGGGATGGCTTTTTCTCAGGAGTCTCTTTGGCAAGGCCCCCTCCAGCAAGAGTCTGATCTCCAATTTGAGACAAAACTCAAGATATTTGTCTTCAAAATCACAGAGCCCAGGGAAATCCAGGTACGTTCATGGCCGCTGTTCTGGCTATTCTCAAACACTAGAGTCTGTGATATAGAAGATACTTCTGGAGCAGCCTGTGATATTTGGAAGCTGGTCTATCCAGAACTGCAACTGGGCTTGCAGGGCAGGTGTCCCCTGATTCCTCCTGCCACCTGTGGTCGATAGATATGATAGCAGCCACCAATGAATGATATCCCCTCTGTCCACGCACTGTTACAGTGGGACAGTGCAGCTCCTGCCATTGAGAGGTCGGGGCTGTTTTTTTACTCCTTTGACTTTGATCTGGCCTTGTGACTTCTTTTGATCCACAAAAATGTGTTCCAGGGGGAGTTGTGTTAATTCTGCAGCCCAAGCTCTCACTGTTGCCCTGCTGGAACTAGATTACGTTAGGGAGGAGCTGGATCCAGTGAGGGATGATGTGGAGGACTGAGATACCCAGCTGGCCACCAGCATCAGCTGCCAGACCCGGAAGTGAGCCCATCTTCACCCTCCAGCTTGAGCTCAACATCCAAATGACCACAGCCAACTCTGTAGCCATTTTTTCATTAAGGAAAAAAACTACCAAGATTCAGCCAACACTCAAAAGCTATAAAGATTGCACCCTCCCTGGATAATAATTTCCTTTCCGTTTAATCTGGTACAGATCATAAAGAAAGCAGTATAGTGCTTCAGTGATGAAGTGGATAGATTGTGGAAGCTGATAGTGGAAGAGTTGGATGCAAATAACATCAGGCCATTCATCTTGTTATCAAGTTGTATTTTGACTTTTTCTCACCTTGATATTTGCTCACCCACTTCACTCATTTCAAATAGACACCTTTACATTTGATTTCTACTGCAAACATTTATGTTCATATATTGAAATATAGTCTACACTTTCTTCTTTTAAAATTTGCTTTTATTGGGGCCAGCGCTGTGGCACAGTGGGTTAACTCCCTGGCCTGAAGCGCCGGCATCCAATATGGGTGAGGGTTGTAGTCCCAGCTGCTCCACTTCTGATCCAGCTCTCTGCTATGGCCTGGGTAAGCAGTAGAAGATGGCCCAAGTCCTTTGGCCCCTGCACCTGTGTAGGAGACCCAGAAGAAGCTCCTGGCTCCTGGCTTCGGATTGGCACAGCTCCAGTCGTTGTGGCTTTCTGGGGAGTGAACCAGCGGATGGAAGACCTCTTTCTCTGTCTCTACCTCTCTCTGTAACTCTGTCTTTCAAATAAATAAAAAAATCTTTAAAAAATTGTTTTTATTTATGTGAAATACAGAAAGAGAGAGAGAGACTAAGATATCTTCCATCTGCTGGTTCACTCCCCAAATACCTGCAACAGCTAGGGCTGGGCCAGGCCAAATTCAGGAGCCTAGAACTCAATTTTGGTCCTTCAAGTGGGTGATGGTGACCTAAGTATAGGAGTCATTTCCTGCTCTCTACCAGGATGCACAGAAGTAGGAAGCTATAATTGGAAGTGGACTCAAGACTTCAACCCATGGCTGGCGCCGTGGCTCAATAGGCTAATCCTCCACCTGCGGCACCGGCACACCAGGTTCTAGTCCCAGTTGGGGCGCCAGATTCTATCCCAGTTGCTCCTCTTCCTGTCCAGCTCTCTGCTGTGGCCCGGCAGTGCAGTGGAGGATGGCCCAGGTCCTTGGGCCCTGCACCCGCATGGGGGACCAGGAGAAGCACCTGGCTCCTGGCTTTGGATCAGCGTGGTGCGCCAGCCACAGCAGCCATTGGGGGGTGAACCAACAGAAAAAGGAAGACCTTTCTCTTTGTCTCTCACTGTCCACTCTGCCTGTCAGACTTTAACCCAGGAACTCTAACATGGGATGTGGGTATCCCAACTGGGATCTTAGCCATTGCCCCAAATGCCTACTCTACACTTTTAATTTCTTTCTAAAATAAATGTGTTTGTCGTTTTAACAATGCCTATATGAGGGTATTTCAAAAACTTCATGGAAAATAGAATTAAATGGTAAGTTTATTTTGGTGCAAAATTTTTGATTTTCATGCATATTTGTTTCATAATACATGTTTTTCATGAATTGTTTTGCATGTTCTCATGGTAGATAGGCAAGCTGTCACCATATTGATTGTACACTGAAGACACAGAGTTGCATAGCCTGGGCATGGATTGGAGTGTGGTGGGACAGTCCTGACTAGCAAAGCTTTGGTAGGAAGAGCCCTCATTGCCTCCCTGTTAGTTTTAGGTGGGAGTCTAAGACAGATTGTGCAAGTTCTAGATGGGGGCAGAACACTGGAGGGACTGCAGTGGGGGAATTTTCTTTATGTCAAGGGAAACAAATTCCCATAGAAGCATTCCAGAAGCTCTTCGCAATGATGGTGGTAGAGAAAGATTTCTGAGCACTGGGGAGAATTTTAATTAGGCTGCTATGGCTACCCACAGATAGCATCAAACGACTTCCACTTGGCTGCCTAGCTGGAGAATGACGGCTCTGGATGTGATCAAAGCCCCCCTGAGTTCTCAGGGGTCCCCCTCGAATCCAGCTCGTCGTAGCTCATTTCGATGCTGTGCCGTGTTTGGCAGAGCTCCGGAGTGCTTTT